TTGGTAATTTATATAATTTTGGAGTATTAATTTCTTCCAAACTTTCAGTTTTTATCATAAGCTTGCATATTATATTTGATTCAATTTTTTTCAGTCTCTTCTGTCTTTGTGGGGTTATGTATCCTATCCTTTCTCAGCTGTGATCTTTATACATTTTTCTTCCATTTTCTCTCTTAATCAAGATTGTAAATGTATTATCCACAGGTAAAGGAAAACACTTGTGGATGTGGTTATATTTTATGTTTTTACACTTCCTGTTTTGTTAATTATAGTTTCAATCTCATTAATTAATATCTTTTTGTTTTAAAATCACTCTCTAATTTCTTTAGGTAAACATTGACCTCTCTCTCTCTCTCTCTGTCTCTTTCTCCTGCCCTCTCTGACTGATTCTCTCCCTCACACTCTCTCTGTTTGTCTCTTTCCTAAATGGTGAGTGTATTCACATTTTTTGAAGCCTTGTTTTTAGGCTTCATTGTTTGGCTCTGAAATGTTTGTATTTTTACTACCTTTATATAAATTATATACTCATTTTTAGATATGTGTGTATATGTGTAGGGGCATGCATGCATGTGTGCTGTCTTGTAACTGTTGTCTAGGAGTATGTTTCTAAGTTTTTCTCTATCTCCTTTGCTTATATTTTTGGGGATGTGATTAAAGAATGTTATTTAGGTAGTGTCTCCTTTCTGAAGTTTGTTGAGGAGGTTGTTGTGCATATGACTGATTTTTATAAGTGTTTTGTGCATAATGAAAAAAATCCATTTCTAGTCAAGGGAAAAAGAATTGTATCAAAAAGATTTCTTTGAGAGAAATTATTATTAGACAAGAGGAAGGGAACTGGGAAAGATGGGTAGAATGGAAGCTCATGAGGGAGTATCAAAATATGTTATATGAGTGTATGAAAATACCACATTAAACCAAGTATTTTGTAAAATTAATATGCCCTAAAAGTACATTTAAAAGAATTCCTTATTTGTACTACTTACTTCTTGTATATACTGAATTTTCGCTCACTGTAAACACCTAATTTGAAAGTTATAGTACAATTTGTCTATATTTGTACTTCAATTAATTATACACATATATTACACTGAAATAATGTGTATTCCTAGTAACGACTGCTTGATGTACTTACACACTATATTATTTGGTACAAACAGCTTTATCAGTTTTTTCCAATCTTTATAGATTATATTTTATATCATTATATTTCTGTTCAATGCCTTCATATTGCTTATTGTGTTCCATATTTTTAAGTTCTACCTTGTCTACTATTAATATTGCCATTCTTAAATTAGTTTTATTCTTATAACTCAGTAAACAACTTGGCTTCTTTTTTAAACTAAAATATGTAACTGAATGTAGAGAACTCACTTCATTTGCAGTAATTTAATAATTTATATATTTTATTTTACTTCTGACCTATTTTAAATTTATTTTGTCATGTTGATTCTTATTTTGTTCTTTTTTTTGTTGGTGATGTACCGAAAAATAATTGTTTTTCTTTTTCAATTTGAGAGCTGTATACTTTTTACTTCTCTAATATTAAATTGATCATCAGTACATAGTCCCTCTGTTATTACCTGAAATAAAGTATCAATTATTACTCCCATGAATGAGATATTTCTTCTCCTCCTCCTCTGCTGACCTATTTCTCCCAATAATGAGATCCTTTTGCTTCTCTACCGCTCCACCCCTGCATGTACCAGAGAGGAGCTTAGGTACATTTATATTCCTTTTACCCTCTTTAACAGTTAGACTGTTAAAGTTTCTGTTGAAATATGTCTCTTGGACTTTAATAGTTCAATTTAGCCTTTATATTGTGCATTTCTAAATGGTCTTTTATTATTTTTTTGCAGATTTTTATTTCTTACCATTGTTTCCTCTCAATCTTCCTTCACTTTGAACACTCTGTGGGTTCCTTTGGTGCTGTATTAGCCCTCTACCTGCTTGATCAGGTTTTTATCAGATTGGGTATGTGGGTGATATCTTGATGAGTGTAGGATTCCAATTCTTTAAAACATTTTATCTCAGAACTCAGGAATTGTACTAGTCTATGCCTAAGTGATATCCTTTTTCACCAATTTTTCATGAAGTTGTACTTTTGATGAACACATTCAGTCCTTATATAAAACTCAGGGAGAGTTTTTTTAAAAATAGTTTCTCTTTCATAATTACTTTCCTCCTCTTACCATTGTTTTCTTTTTCTAGGACTCCTGGTATTTTTACAGGTTAGGTGTTCTGGGTCTTTCCACTACATGTTTTTCATCTCTGCCTCTTTGTGTTTTTTCCATTTTTCCCCTGGATCTTGATTGCTGCAAATTCTAATCTCAACAGTGATTAGTCTTTACTCCAATTTATCTATTCAATATTTTAATTAACAAGCTTATATCTTAATTTCAGGAAGTCTGTACATACTGTATAGGTCTTCAAGCATTTATTTTCTATCTTCTACTTTCCTCCAAAGTTCCCCTGACTGCTTTTTTCATTCTTTCTCACTCTCTGGCTGTTAGACTCCTTTAAGTGTTGTTTTATTTGCATTTGTTCATTACGGCATAGGTCTAACTGCTGAGTGCTTTAAGTGGACTTGTCTTATATTTGTGAAAAGGCACTGGTATCTCAGTCATTACTGATCAGTGACAGGCAAGTGAGGATAAAAAGAGTAATATAAGGGTGATATACTCACTGTCATCCTCCAGTGAACTGTGCTAGAGAAGGGGGGAAGAGGAAGAGAAGGGAGGAGGAGAAGGAGGAGAAGAAAAGGGAGAAGGAGAAGGAACAGAAGGAGAAGGAGGAGAAGAAGAAGGAGAAGAAGGAGAAGGAGGAGAAGAAGAGGAAGAAAAGGAAGAAGAGGAAGAAGCAGAAGAAGAAAGAGAAGAAGGAGGAGGAGAAGAAAATGATCAGAGTGGAAAAAAGGAAAAGCAATGAGAAAACAAGGGAAGGAAAAGGAAATAGAAAAAACAGAGGGAGAAAAAAAGTATAATTCTGAAATAATCAAAACTGTGATTCTGAAGTCACAGTTAATTCCATAATCACATTCGTGATAAGAGCTATGACCAAAAGGCGAATAGAAATGTGAAAAGCATGAAAATGGAGAGCTGACCTGGTAGGACTGTCAGAAAAGTGATTTCTGAAGAAATGACTGAGTTGAGAAGGAAGGAAGAGGAGGAGTTAATTGTGAAGAGAGATGGGGAAAAAAGCAGCATATTCAAAGGTATTAGGAATAAGTGTGGCACATTTGAGGACCTAAAAGAAGGCCAGTGTGGCTGGGGCAGGAAGAGCAAACTGGGAAAAGATGTTTCAGAGAAAAGTAATGATGGTTGGAAAGTAATGCAGAGACTTGGTGGGCCATCATGGGGACTGTGGTCTCTTTCCTAAGAGCAGATGGCCACTGGCGTCATACTCCAGGGATAAAACACTGATTAGTGTGTTTAGACGATCAGGAAATTTCAGTGCCAAGAACTAATGTAAAGAAGCATGGGAAGCTAAGAGACCAATGAGGAGGCTATTGTAATAGTCCAAGAGAAAGATAATGATGAGCCGGCCACCAGTTTTTTTTAAAAAGGATACTTTTAGGTGGTAAAATGGAAGAGTAGTGAAAGGTGTTTTAAAAAAAAGTTTCTGAATTGGGTGACTGCTGCATGAAATGGGAATACTGGAAGAAGACCAAGGTAGAAATCATCAGTTCAGTTGTTCACGTCAAGGTTCCTTGGAGATACTCAAGTGGAGAAGTCAATAGAAAAGATAACTATGGGGCTCTGGCGCAGGTTAAACAGGAGATACAAAAACAGTATTCCCCCTCCCATCCTAGGGGGAAATGGAGGCTGCTGGTGTGAAAAAGATTCTGAGGAAGAGTAAGGAGAGCAGAAAGACTGATAATCTTGTATACTGTCATTTCGATCTAAATTGGACTATTTTTCTTCGAAGGTGATGGGAATGTGTGTCAGTACCTCAAAAATGATCTTGTTTTGACCTCATCACCCTACTTGTGGAAACCTTTCCTCAGAAAATAATAGTAGTAAATGTGTCAGACACTCATGAATAATATTCATTCAGCACTCTGTATGATAGGAAAAACAAAAAGAAATTATTTAATTATCTAATATTAGGAAAAGTTTACACGTGTCTTATAACTATATGAATGAATGCTGTGCCACATAATTTGATGTCTGTAAAGCTTTTACAGTATAAATAAATGGTTATGATGTAGCAGTAAGCAAAAAAAAATCAGTACATAAAATTAATAGAGCGCTAGAGAGGAAAGGAGGGAGAAAAGGGCAGGAAGAGAGGAAATCTCCACTGTGTGGAAATATATAGAACAAAGAAGTGTAAGAAAAATAAAGTATCTGTTATGATCATTACCATTTTTATTCATTTATCCAGTTTGCAAATTTTCAACATGCGCCTGTGCTGCACTTTATGTAACATTTTATTAGGAAAGCAAATCTAGAAATTGTAGTATTGTCTGGTTATAAATGATAAGTAAAGGCCCCTCAGCCATTAAACCCTGGTTATCAGTCTTTCCATTTCACAGTTGGATGAGCATTTATACTTTGAGCATAGCATAGCCTTTTGAGTGTGTGAGATTATTGCCATGCATTTAAAAGTTTTATGAGCTATTTATTTAATTAGAGCTGTGAAACAGCGTCAGAAAATTGATCTAATTACCAGGCAACAGCAATTTCTTCCCCAGAGCACAACTCCCAATCAGATGGCCCACGGTGGACAATATTATGTTTGTGTTTCCTTTGCTTATTTAATTGTTCCATGGTACAAACAACTGTGATCCCTTTAAAGTGAGTTTTAAAAAATTATGTAATAAGTACATATAGGAATTTACTAATTATTTTAAAATGCAAGGCATTTTTCTTGTTCTTGTGTTTTTCTCTTGAGTGATTGTTAGAGAACTGTCTTTTGGAATGTCATTTCTATTGTCTGTAGTGATACAAAAATCACTCTTAATTTGGTTCAAAACTAAAAGTATGATTTATGTTTAACTCCAGGAATGTATACAAAGACTATCGTTTCCTGGAGCTGGCGTGTGATTCCCAGGAGGACGTGGACAGCTGGAAAGCATCTCTGCTAAGAGCCGGGGTCTACCCCGATAAATCTCTAGTGAGTTGCAGCTATCTCTACTGTATGCTACGTGCTAGAGAAACTTGTTTTTCTTTAATTTAATTTAGCAAACTTTTAACCGTCCTTTTGTTTATTCTTGTTACATCGTTTTCACAATGCTTTTGCTTTGTCGTGTTTCTATTTTAAAAAGTTAACCAGAATTTTTTTTAAAAGCCCTACTCTGCCATAAAACATAGCCACCCAATCTCAGACCAAGAGAAAATTTTCTATTTAAAAATTACTTTTCTCTCTGTCATTCCGTAGTCGTTGTCTCATTAATGCAAGGAGTACATCATCAATCGTAATGCCAATATTCTATATTTTTAGAATGTACTTAGTTTTATAAAACTCTGCTTCCATTAGGTATGCATTGCTCTGGCTAGTGTCATCCTGAGTGAGAAAGAACAAAAAATGGCTCTTCCCACTTATCTTTATTAATATACTTCAAGTGTCTTGGAGGCACTTCTCTCATTCATGTTAATAAACAGAACTTGTCTCTGCGTTCTGTAGAAGAGGTAATATTACACAGACTCGTCTGAACATACACTTTAGGAGTCCTGCCCGTCATGTGTCCACACACCACTAAACACACTCTACAGATGAGCAGATCTCTCTCCTCACGGCTCCCCCTGAGTCTTTATACTGTCCAGGTTTCTCCCTAGAACTAAAGTACTAAGATTGAGTCCTGAGGACTTAGTCTCCCTTGACTCTTTTGGTGCTTAATCATATCATAAACTGATCATGTTTAGATTGAGTTCTGTCTAGGCTCAAAGTAGCTATAAAGTCATTTCAAGAAAAATCTAAGATATGGGCTCAATGTAGGACAATGGAAGATTTCTGGGGAAGGACTTCAGGCCTGCCCACATCCCTTGGGTTACATTGAAACTTAAGAGTTTCAGATGTATAAAGGATTAAGAATTTCTGCTAAAATGTTCCCTTTACTGTTATTTTTGCTCACACACACACCTCCTAACCTCATTCCATCCTATGTCCGTCTGGTTGTTACCCAGTGCACCTTCCACAACATGCCCTGTACTCTTTTAATGAAAATTAAATATGATCTTTTCATAGTGATGCTGAATTACAGAAGCATCTGTACACTATTTTCGTAATTATTGTCTGGCTTTCCATCTACTGTGTGTGCACAGATTTGCATAGATATAGACCACTGTATAGACTACATATGAGAAATCATTTTGGACTACCATTTTTACTTTTGTTTTCAATCCTAATTATTATTACTCTTATCAGTATCCACTGGTGGATAGTGTTTAATTTCACACATATCATGTATTAAAATGCCTATATACTTAATTTTGTATTCATTTATTCCACAGAAACCTTTTGAGCTCATGCCTTTTTATCATTCTGGGCACTGGTGAGAGATAAAAACTAAGGTCCTTTTCCCATGGAGCAGACACTGACCATGTGGATGAGTAACTCTAATTATATAGACTTGTTCAGGGCCATGATCATTTCTATTTTAAAAAGTTAAATAAATTTAAGGGACGGACAGTGAGAGTAAGAGGCAGGTGAGCTATACGTTAAGAAAGATAACCGGGAAGGCCCTCTGAAGAGCCAGCACTTGAGTAGGCGTTTCAAGGAAAGTAGGTAGTCCGGGTATGAAGGCACGAAGGCGGGGATTCTTGGCAGGGGCAGAGCAAGAACATAGCCAAGGTCATGCGTGTCTTAGAGGAGCAACAAGAAAGTCTGTGTGTCCAGAGCACAGTGAGGGAGACAGACAGGTCAGCTGGTTTTCAAGAGAGTGGTCAGGGGCCCAGCAAAGGAAATGAATGGCATTTCAGATTTTATGTGAATGAAATGAGATGCCATTAGAGGATGTCAAGCCAGTTAATACCATGATAAGATTTACATTTTTTAACGCACGTGATGACGAGGTATTATGAGAAGTAGCAGAGGGTGGGTGTCTGCAAATTCCAGATGTTCACGTACAAGCTGTGACATCTTAGGCAAGTTACTTACTCATTGTACACTTCATGATTCTCATTTCTGAAATGAGGATGACAATTTCTCATAGGGTGGCTGATAGGATCCCATGAAATAAAGCAGGGGAAACATTGACTAGGGCAGGCCCAAGCGATCACTCTAGTTTCATGTACAATAATACTACTAATAGTTACTACTGGGAATAGAAATATCATTTTCATTACAGATAACTTTCTTTAACAGCTAGAGGAAGGTTAAAATTCCGTGGTTATTGTAACACAGCCCATGGAGATCATAAATACTTTATGCCATTTCCTCTTCCATATATGCTTGGTGATGAGTTTGTATGTATGTATATATGTTTGTATATATGTATGTGTTTATGTATGTATCTTCCTTACATGCAACCATAGTGTGTGTGAAAATGGTTAAGTCATGATTTTGTAAATTAGAGCTATTCTAATTGCATTACACAGTTTTCTATTTAAGGAGATTATTTAATATATTTTCTATAAATGGAAAACTGTCATGGAGTGCAAAATTATTCACTTCACAATGGATTATTTTTATAAACCTGAATTTTCTTGTATCCATAGCTCTACACCAAGAATATAGCCTAAATACTATTTTCTATTTTTTATCAAAATACTCATTTATAAGCAGATCTAGATATGCCCCAGACAGTCTGTTTTCTTTGCACAACATTTTCATTTGTTTATAAACATGCATTTGGTACAATTGCTTGGAATATCAAGACAAAGAAGTTCTTACTGCACACCAGAGACAAGACAGGAAATTACACTTGGCAGTGTGCCAAGAGTGATGCTTTTCTCAATTTTCATCATAAACAGGATTCACATTTTTTATGCACCACGTAGTCCTACAGATCATGTTAAAGAATGGCTTGACTTTCACATGTTTAATGAAAGCTAACTGTTGAAATCAATCAAGTAGAATGTTTATCTACAGAGCTGATTCTGTTAACACTCTTAGATTTGTAGGAAGAATCAGTTTTAGGTAGATATTCCTCATTTAGAAACATTTGACAAAATCAAATTAACCACATAATTGATGCCTCTAAGTTTTTAGGGCTTTACAAGTGTATCATTTTGCTTCTTTGTTGATAAGCCATCAGTCAAAAACAAATCTGTCACTCACTACCCTAATAATGAAACATGTATGTATCATGCATGGAGATGAATTTAAATTCACAAGATTCTGCTCTCTGCACAGATACTTCTGTTTTGACTGGAAATAAATTTCCACATACATCACTTTTTAAAGTTCTGTAAGTTTGACATCAATTAGATAAGGAGCTATCACCTGAATTTGAATAAATTGATGTTTGGGGCAGATTACTTTTTCTGTGATCTTAGGTACATATTTTTAATAACGGTCATCAATATATGTTTTTCTCTCACCGCCACATGACAAAATATTCTTAAGTCATACATATCAAAATGTTCTGCTGTACTGTTTCCTTTGTCCCTTAAGCCATTTGTCATGATGTTTTTTTAAAAAATTTATTTCTCTTTCAATGTACTTCTTTTCCTCCCTTCTTTTCTTCCCTTCAGGCATCACTAGTCTAGTGGAGTCCAGAGACTCAAAGCTGAAAAATATACAGTACCTATTTTATACAAATCCCACAAGTGGAAAAAAGAGAGTAGTTTTTACATGATAAAAACTGCAGTGAATATCTCCATAAATGCAACAGCCTATTTTCCCTTGTGAACTTTCTAATCACTTTCTATTTTCTCATGTGCAGTTACTAATTACTTCCACTATCTTAATCTTTCTGGATTCAAAAGAAAAATGCAGAATTCTTATCTGAGCCATAGAGTATGTGCTCCTAAAATGGAAATGGGTACATGACTCACTTTCCTACTGTGTGAACGACTTATTCTGTGACTTGCAGAAAACTTCTCTAAGCCACAGCTGAGCATGTTATCAGCTACAGCATACTTCTGAACAATCTCAACATTTTAAAAATATATTTCAATCTGAATGTGGATTTAGTGCAGTTTTATTTCTTTTATTACTATTCTCATGGCCATTAAGTTGAAAATATAACTACAAAAAAGTCTTATATTGTTCAAGAAGTATATAGGACTTTACAGGTTTCAAAGTAAAGATGTTTTATAGTTATTTTCACTGATGAGCCTGAAATGCAATGTGTGTGTGTATGATGTCAGTAGAGGCTACGATGAGAGACCTCTTAACAGATTTTACTGATGCATTACCGATATTTTTTCTATACATGTGATTACAAATAAATATGTATTTGGTTGAGTATCTAAAGAACATGATAAGACAAACAACTGACTTTTGTGGCACAATTTTGTTGGCTTATAATAGGACTAGTATGTAAACATTGAGGAACTCCAAGTTCAAATTCTTTGAAATGTACTGTGTGCAGTGGATGTAGTAGATTTTAAGTCAGATCCACTGACATTTGAATCCTGACCCTGCCATTATTAGCTGTGCAGCCGAGGCACCTTACTTGACCCCTGAGAGAGTTTTTCTTCTCTGAACTGAAAGTAGCCACTCCTTCCTCAGACAGAGTGATTTTATAGGGTTAAGTAAAGGTTTTATGCATCACAATGAGCTCAGTGCCTTCAGCGGAGTGAAAGTATTCATGCCACATGGCCCTCACTGTTATAATTCACTATCATCCCTGTGTCCATGGAGCAGTAATTCTGTTTAGTACTTACCATTGCTTTAGAAACTGCCAGTGGGATTTGGGTATGTGGGGAGAATTTCTTCATCTGTTGGCTGAGGAGGCTGGGTTGTTTAAAGGGAGTCCTGGTGCTTCCTGAGGGGACAGGCCAGCCCGGGAGGCTACATGGGTCAGGCCAGGGTGAGCCCAGGGCTGTCAAGGGAAGTGAGAATTCCCAAGCCTGTGCTCAGATGCTGGCCTGCCGGCCATCTGAAAGAAGCAACCTGAGACCCGAATATGCCCTGGAAACAATTGGGTGCAAATTCAGCTATGCATATTTGTTATGTCAGACACGTCAGAGCTTTTAAAGAAGTTTATATGAGCTGTATACACAGGAATGGTCCTCCCCTATTGACTGTTATTTCTTAAGAAATGTGACAGTAGAGCTCGGGGTGCAGCTTAGTGGTAGAGCGCTAGCCTAGCATGTGTGAGGCCTGGGTCTGATTCCCCAGCACTGAAAAAAAAAAAACCTCACAAGAGAAAGTGAAACACTGGAACTTCACTTCGCCTCTGAACTCAGGACTCTCCCAGCCATAATTGATGCTTTTCGGACTGTTTCGTGGGTTAAAACCAGCTTGCAATGTGGTCCTTTTGGTACTTCAGAAATTCCTTTCGGATAGACTCTTAGCAGTGAATTTTCATCTGTGTCAAATAGGGAAAAGAATCTCTTTATCAATTTAGGGGGGGAGAAGACGAGGGGCCGTGGGCCTCCACAATATTTATTAATGCAGTGATAACTCCTCATATACATGTATGTAGTAGTACACTAACGCAAGATTTTTAAAAACCCATGCCCTTGACTTCATTCTTAGCTTTTTCTGCAGTCTGGCACACAGGGCAGCTACATCCTTCAGCGGGAGTACTGTCAGGGTCCTAAACTCAAACTGCTGTGACCCACAGCCATGGAGCAACTTATAAAGCATTTACAGTTCACCATTCATGAGTGCTCTGCCCCTCGTAGAATAGAAGATTCGGAAACGATTGAATGAAATGAGAAATGGCCAAGCCACACCATGTCCTCCGCTTGTGTTTCAGGATTAAGGCCTCCTACTCTGTGACATCATTGTTGCCACTACAAACAGAGCCATCTGCCACGGAGCAGGGAAGCCAGTCATCCCCTAATGTGCAAAAATACTTGGTTAAACTCCTGAAACTTATTTGGTAGATCAAAAGCTGCAGGGTGTGGAATGCAATAAACCCCATCTGTTTGAGGTATTTTGAGCAATATTGTACTTCTTGGAAGAACCAGGGCCCTATTTTTCTCTAAAATAATTATTTTACTTGTGATAAAACCCCCAGTGATCTCTTCATTACCTTATTGAACAGTTGGCATAATCTTTAGAAAGAATTCATTTTTTTCCCCTTCATCCATTCTTAGAGCATTATGTCTCAGATAAGCTGGCGTGTTAACGATTATCTTACGGCAACTCAGTGCCAAAAGCTTCTCCACACTCTTCTGTTAGTGCTTTGTTTATGAAATAGGATGGACTTGGTGGCCCCTGGTGGCCCCTGGATGAGGCATTTCCCCAGTCACCAGCTGGCATTGTTCTCCAGAAAACACACTGTCCTGGGACTGCTGCCTTAGCACTCCCTCCGAACATTTCTGTATGGATTTCCCCCTCCACGTCCTCAACTGAAAACTAAATGCCACATCTCCGGGCGGACCTGTTCCTCCACGCTGTCCCGGTCTCTCCCACCGATGCGATGCACGCACTTTGCTCACAGCACTCTGCTACTCCACGCCTCACCGAGGAATTCCTCCCGGGCCCCTGTGAGGAGACTTCAGATCTGTTCCTGGGCCGTATCCCATCCTGTCTCCCCCACAGGATCTGACCTTGCAAGGACTCAGGCTGCCCTGGGAGTAATGAATCACCGTTTTATTTTTTTAGGCCATATGTGAGTTAAATTGTTTGATATAAATCATGCACTCGCAGCTCCAGCTTGAAATAGGAGAGCCATTTGCCTGCCGCCTGCCGCTGGCTGCTCTGTCTCCATCCAGGGTGTCGCTTTTAGAGATGACTACATTTTTGTGATTAACCTTTCCAGTCCATTTTCTTGAATGTGAACCAGTGTTTATTTTGGCGGCAGGCCCACTATACAGTCTTCGTTTCCCATGCCAAGCCAAGGCAAAACTCATAATTTACAAAATAAAGGAATGGTACAGATCGAGGTCATAACTTGGTCCGCTTATGCCGTCTCCCCAGAGCCACCCACCCCTTTCCTCTGCTGCCTTTGCCTCCTTTCTTTTTTAATTCTACCTTCTTTGAAACCAAGGGTGCAGTGTTTGTTTAAAGATGCACTGGCTGATGGAATTTTCCACTGCTTGGCATGTTGGAGGAGGGGCCGTCAGGGAAGGGCAGGCCAACATACTAACTGCTCTGCTTTTCATGCTAGCAGCTCGCTTATTACCGATTCAAACCAATTCTTTCTGGCCAGGTTCCCATACCCCAAGTATTCGGAGTCCAAAGAAAGGGGAGAAATCTCTGTCATAATTTCTGATGTTATAAACGTATGATTTCAGTTAGCCTCCGTGGATTCTGGGACTTGGCCTTGAGCTCTGGACGCTAGATGTACATTATGGGATGTCAGTGAATATTCAGATGATTGGTTTTGCTTCTGCTCTGGCAAGAGAAATCTTGTAATTTTAAAATAAATTTATACTTAACTTATATTTTCTTTTCTTCCTTACGGCTACTCGCACAGGGGAACAACAAAGTAAGTTCTCTGTCTTGTTGTGGTTCTTCTGTCTCCCCACACCGGCTCGCTCCCGCATGTCTTGCCCTGAGTGTTTCCGTGCACGTTTGAATGACCGTAGGCTACGACAGTGCAGGATTATACGAGGTGTGCAAGTGCAGGGGGAAATATGTGTTTGGATGGCCATAAGGAGCTTTTTCTGTTTCGACCTTTTGGAGGGAAGATTTACGTTCTTCAGGGCTGGGGATTGCACAGTTCAGGGAAACTCTTATTAGAAGGAATGAGACCCACACCGACAGCAGAGATTAGGGAGGTTTACTAATGAGGATTCTTCTGCAGAAAGGGTACCCCAATCTGATGAAATTTAGGGCAGTCGAAGTTTCTGACCAAAAATCAAAGCTCTCATGTTAATGTGCAGTTATAAAAACCCAAAGTAGAGTCTTAAATAGCAGTATGGCTGGCTTCCTTGGCGAAACTGAACTAGACCAGTCCGCTGGCTTTGAAGGTGCCTTAAAATGGAAGGAGGAGGGTGGGGTCAACATTTGCCTTGGCTTCTGCGCCCTGATGTATTCCAGCTGGGCGGAGGGCGGAGGGCGGAGGGCTGGGAAGTGGTGGGAGAGCAAAATGTGTATGATAGATTTATGAAAACAGGCAACACACATGAATGGTGGAAATTATTTTAATGTTGCCACAATAGATAAAAGCAATTTAATAGTCCAGAAGGTTGCTAAGTACGTTTAAATTTTAATTCAACCTTTCCCAAAACTAGAGTTATTTTTCACTCAGAAGTAGAATAGTACAGAAGATCATCTTAAATTTGGCAGAGTGATTAGTTTTCTTATTTTGTCTTTTTTATGGGGATAGATTAGAGCTTTTTCCTACCAGGTAGCCCACTTAAAATGGGCCTCAGTGAGTACAATAAGAATTGAAAGGAATCTCTTATATAAGAGTTGGGCTGCATATTTAAACCAGCTGGAATTCATCAAAATTGCTATTCCAAAGCCATACATATAGAATGTAAAACAAATGTGGGAAATCTTTTGCAGTTTAATTTTATGGAATGTGCTATTATGGAATAAATTGACATCAATGGTTGGTATTGAAAACTGTGTAATTTATAAATTTATATCTTGATATAACTGCTATAATGCAAGTAATAATATTTAATAAAGTTAAAGTATTACTAGAAAAACACCAGGCAGGCATTTATAAAAGAGTAAAGAGGTGAGCTCAAACCATTTAAGGTAAATTAAAAAAAAAAAAAAAGGTAACTTATGAAACTGAAGGTTTCTACAAAGTAAAAGTCAGTATTTCTAGCTAAGACTGCTACTCTTAGAATAAAACATTTAAACAAATTGTTTTTAAGCCCATATTTTAGTTCTTACGCCATATAGTGTATTTCAGTTCTTAAATAGTAAGTATATCTAATCCTGCTTATTTGCATCACCCTGTCTCTGCCCCGAATTTCATGTGCTTTTTGTTGTGTTTGCAAACAAACACAAACACTTAAAACAAAGCACCCCGGGGCAAACCGTGACTGTATTAGTAGGAAGCCTGGACACGCTGAATGAAGATTAGGGAACTAGCTGCTGACATTTTGGAAAGGTGCTAACTCTTAGACGACTCCAAAAGCATTTATGATTTTTCTCTATCTTTAGTGATTCGTTGATGGCTTAAAAGTATTTATAAACTTTCTAAAGACAACGCATTTCTATGGCAGAAGTCATCCATTTGTTGTGTCTTGCTTGATCAAGTTCTTCTGCTCAATACAGTTTACTGATTAAATACAGTAAACAATAAAACTCAAAAGTTCTGAACTGTTGCCTGTGAAGGCCACTTCCAGGATGATGTGAGATGCCCTGCAGGGTCTCAAGGGCTGCCCAGCCACCGTCTGCGTCATAAGCTTGTATATGTGCTGTGGGGGATCTTGGGATGCTAGAGGTCTAAGTGTTGGCAGAGGGGCCTCAAAGATGCAAGTGATTTTTAATGGAGGGGTGGATACTTTGGAGGTGCTGATATTTATTGCCTTATTTCTAATTGCTTACGTTATGCATAAGTGACAATTTGTGGAAAATACAAAGCTCATACTTTAAAAATATGATTGTTATACTGGCCATAGACTCTGGCATGAAAAAACTCTCCCCAAATCACAAGCAGCACATCTGCATGCTATTTTCCTGTAGCTTAGAATTTCAGTATAAATGGAAAACACTGGAATGCAAGCTGTGCTGTCTCCAGAGTATAGATCTGGATTCTTCAAAAGGAGCATATGAGATTCTTTTTTCCCTTCTCATGTGGGAACGCTTGCTCTGAGTTGTCCCCAAGGCAACGTACCTGACTTGCCTGCCCTATACATGAGCCGGCTGTAAAGTGTGACACGTTTCAGACTCACAAACACTAATTGCTTCTTTAGTGCATGGCATTTTATTATTGAGGATACTAACCAGACTAAAGACAACGAAGTCTGCTCAATTAGTGTTTCTTTAGATAAGCAGGACTGATTCATCTTCCCAGATTCCTTAAGTGGGATCCACACACACACATATGCACCCATATAAATCAGGGTGAATAGAACAACACTGTGATTTGCTTTCTGGGTGACAGCTACATTGATGTACTTCATTCATCTTTAAATTACGCTTACAATTTGGGAGCTAATCCTCTAAGCTCTAAGAAAATGAACTTGAATAATAGATGCATATTTAGATTTATGTTATGATCACACAGTGGAACAAACCACCAAGGTTCACATTCCTCTTTGAATAATATTATGTATTTTGTTATTTCTCCTTAAAAAGCCAATTCTCCTTTTGTGAGGAGATCACAGTTACTCAGGGAAAATTTTCCTTCCAGACCTATTACTTATTTTTCCTTTTGAAAATGTTTTTCTGTTGGCATAGTGACACTCTGAATTTCTTAGGGGAGAGTCTATCTCCTCCTTAGATGGGTTTCCCTGGACTGCGGAAGTCAGTGTCTTCATTAGAAAGACCAGAATCCTGGACGTCCTGCGTCAGTTGAGAATGTGAAAAAATATATTCCGTAACAAAGAGGTTGTTTGGTTTTTATGATTTTTTTGTTGTGTATAAATGTAAATTAGAATGTCATTTTCAAACCTGAGGCCTTCAGGTAAAACTCAAACTCCGTGTTTTGTCCTAGAGAGAAGCCATGTATTTTCTTCATTAATTTAATGGCTTTTCTTACTGAACATATCTAGACATTTAATGGACTTTTAGTTTATTCCTTTATTAAAGAGTTTTGTTTGAATGTCTTTGATGTTAAATTAGGTAAACTGAAGGTAGACAAAAAACTTAAAATATAGATAATAAAATACCTAATAAAAGATTTCAAATTTTTAATGATGTTCATACAGAAACACAAATAGTGAAAATGACTATACTTCCAAAATTGCTGTACAGATTTTTTCCCCCCCCTCTGGTACCAGGAATCAAACTCACGACCTTGCGCTTGCCAGGCAGGTGCTGTGCTGCTGAGCTAAATCCCCAGCCCCTGCTGTACAGATTTAATGCAATCCTGATCAAAATACCACGAGCATATTGCACAGAATTCGAGAAAACAACCCTAAAATTCATTTGCAACAGGAGAGACCTAGAATAACAAAGGCAATCCTGGGCAACAAAGGCAAGGCAGGAGACATCACAATCCCTGACTTGAAATTATACCACAAAGCGACTATGAAAACAACGTAGTACTCGCAAAAAAACAGGCCTGAGGATCAATGGAACAGATTATCAGAAGCAGAAACAACTCCAAACATACTCAGCCACCTTATCTTTGACAAAGGAACAAACACATTCACTGGTAGAAAGATAGCCTCTTTAATAGATTGTGCTGGGAAAACTGGCTTTCCTATGCAGAAAACTGAAACTAGACCCATGTCTTTCACAATGCAATAAACTAAAATTGAAATGGATGAAAGACTTGAGTATTAAAACAGAAACACTAAATCTGCTGGAAGATAGAATAGGTTGAACTTGTCTATAGCCATAGCACCCTGAACACACCTGATCTTGTCAGAATAGGTTGAACTCTTCAGGACATGGGTGTAGGCAAAGACTTTACGAACAAAACACCAATCACACAGAAAATTCCACAAAAAATCATCTGAGATCTAATCTTATTAAAAAGCTTTTGCACAGCCAGAGAAACCACCAAAAGACTAAAGAAACAATCCACAGTGTGGGAAAAACATTTTGCCAGCTGTTCCTTAGACAAAGGACTAATATCTAGAATATATAAAGAACTAAAAAAAAAAAAATTAGACCCCCCCCATATTTAAAGACCCAGTCCAAAATGGGGCATCTGAAATGAATAGACATTTCTCAGATGAAGTACAAATGGCACATAAATATATGAAAAATGTTCAACATCATTGGTCATTCAAGAGAGACAAATTAAAACAATGCTGAGATTCTATCTTATTCCAGGAAGAATAGCTATTATCAAGAAACTAACAAATGACAAATGCTGGCAGGGCTGTGCCAGAAGAAAACCCTTCTCCACTGTAGGTGGGAGTGTAGACTGGTGCAAACACTGGAAATCAGTGTGGTGATTCCTCAAAAGGCTAAAACTAGAGGTTCGATTTGGCTCAACTATTTCCCTTCTTGGTATCTTCTCAAAAGAATTAAAAGCATCATACCATGGCAATATATGCACACCCATGTTTATAGGAAAGAAGACAAGAAAAAAGAATAGAAGGAAGAATAGAAACAATTTTTTTAAATAAGTAAGGGAAGAGGTTGAAGGGAGGGGGTTGGGAAAAAGAAGCAAGATATACTATGTACAGATACAAATTCCTTATCATGAATGTTATCATTGTGTGTATCTAAAATGCACCAATAAAATAAAAATTTTAAAAAAAGAAAATACCCACATCATATAGGAAAAATTATGTCAAGGTTACAAGACATAATTAGTTGCCCATTCAGCTAACTTTAAAAAAAAAAAATTAAAAGTTAGGTGAGGCAGTGCACGCCTGTAATCCCAGAACTCAGGAGGCTGAG